CCTGTGCAGGGCTGAGGGTTGGACTCCATGATCCTTGTGGGTCCCTTCCAGCTCAGCATATCCTGTGATTCTGTGAAGACTTTTTTCACACAAAGGTATGTAAACCATGGGAACAGACTGCCCAGGGCAGTGATGGAGTCCCCATCCCTGGAGTGTTCAAAAAACACGTGGATGCAGCACTCAAGGACGTGGTTTAGTGGTGAACACGGCGGTGGCGCTGGGTGATGGTTGGACTTGGTGATCTCAAACATCTTTTCCAACCTTAATGAGTCTCTGACAAGGTCCTCCCCGGGGTTCCCCTCCCTCCCACAGGAGCTGTACTCTCCAGTTGCCGTGAGCTCTGTCTATGGCAAGCCAGGTGTGAAGCTGTCCCCGACACTGGCCGCCTTCACCAACGGAGTCGCGGTAAGATCGGAGCTCTTCCAGGAGGACCCACCCTGTGTGGTGCCTTCAGAGGCGTTAGTGAGCATTGCAGGCAGCAGGGGGGTCACTGGGAGGGGCTCCTCTGCAATCTCCTGCTTTTAGAGGGGCCACACAGCCCCCCTGGGGACAGCGGGGGGATGTTGTAACTCAGCAACATCAGCGAGGAGCCCTCGCTCCCTCAGCCCCCAGCGCGTCCCACCAGCACGGCCTTATCTCCATTTCTGTGGCAGACACACTCCATGGATTTTGATGACACCTGGCACCCTGCTACCCACCCCTCAGGGGCTGTTCTGCCAGCCCTGCTGGCAGCTTCCCAGATGCTGCCTCCCGGCACCAAACCCACCGGCATGGATTTCCTGCTGGCGTTTAACGTGGGCCTGGAAGTGCAAGGAAGGCTCATGCATTTCTCCACTGAGGCTCACGACATTCCAAAAAGGTAAACTGGCTGTTCTTCACTGAGTAGATGGTGAGGCTGGGTTTCAAAATGTTAGGTTAAGTCCGGTTTAAGTCAGTGTTAGCCCTACCCAGAGCCAAACGCCAGAGGTGATGAAGCACCAGGTATTTATTTGGTGACTTCCAGTGACCTTGCCTCAAAAATAGCTACCAAGAGGACTCTCACTGGGCCTGCAGTGCCATCATCTCAACCAACCAGGGCAAGAGCTCACAGCCATGCAGACAGATAACAGTGGGCACAGCCCCTGTGCCAACTGCCCTTCACCAGCAGTGCCCCTGTGTGGTCCAAGGCACGGCACTGACCAGGAACTGTTCCCCTTGGACAAGCTGGATGAGGCCAGATTTGCCTGGAGGGCTAGAAAGTTTGGTGTAGTGACACAGGCCATGTCCCCTACTCCTAGAGAAAATGCAAAATTGTTTATTGGAGATGCTGTTGGAGTTTCCAGAGAGATAAATTCTGAGTCAGGTGACTCTCCCCTGCATCGGAGCCGTGAGGGATTTCCGCCGGCTGACCGTGCAGCTCCAGCCTCACAGGGGCCTGGATGCTCATTCCTGCCATCTCCCCTGCAGGTTCCACCCTCCCTCGGTGGTGGGGACCATGGGCAGCGCGGCGGCCACGGCCAAGCTGCTGTCCCTCAGCAGGGCCCAGTGCTGCCACGCCCTGGGCATCGCCGCGTCCCTGGCGGGGGCCCCCATGGCCAACGCCGCCACCCAGGCCAAGCCACTGCACATCGGCAAAACTGCCACCCCGCCCTGGGCTTCGAGGCGGCTCTGCTGGCAGCCCGGGGCATGGAGGCCAACCCCTTCATCCTGGACGACATCCCCGGCTGCTCCGGGTTCAGCGCCTTCTACGGGGTCTATCACCCCAAGCCGCTGCCCGTGCCCGGTGACCACCACGAGTTCCTCCTGGAGAAGCAGGATATCGCCTTCAAGCGGTTCCCAGCCCACCTGGGGATGCACTGGGTGGTGGATGCTGCCCTGTCTGTGAGGAACCTCTTCGTCCACTACGCGGGGTCCTTCTCTCCCGCCCTGATCCGCACCATCGTGCTGAAGATCCCGGTGTCCAAGTACATCAACCGGCCCTTCCCCAGCTCCGAGCACCAGGCCAGGCACTCCTTCCAGTTCAACGCCTGTGCTGCCCTGTTGGACGGCGAGGTGGGGCTCGGCTCCTTCACCGAGAGCAGCATCCACCGGCAGGAGCTGAGGGAGCTGCTGGACAAAGTGGTGGTGGAGCACCCCGAGGATAACGTGGCCAACTTCGACAAGATGTACGGGGAGGTGGCACTGCTCCTGCACAGCGGGGACGTCCTCACGGGCAAGTGTGACACTTTCTACGGGCACTGGAGGAAGCCCCTGAGCAAGGAGTCGCTCCTGAAGAAGTTTCGATCCAACGCCTCCCACGTGCTCCCAGATGAGAAAATAGAAGCCATCATCACCACGGTGGACAACCTGGAGAACCTGTCAGACAGCTCCCAGCTGGCCTGCAGCCTGTGAGGGAACAGCACAGGGGGGTTTCAGGAGGGGTTTGTCCCAGTGAAACTCTGATTCCTTTCTTCATTGGTGCTTCACTATTGATTTCCAGTGCCAGGAACGTTCCCACCCCTTCAAGTAGACACTTCACTCCCAAAGGAGCCCCCGGGGCAGGAGGTGTGACTGTGCCAGCCCTCGGTACAAGGAGTACATTTCAGCTCGTGGTTGACGCTCTCTGAGCAGCTGAAAGGCCACCACAAACATAGAAAATAATCCCATGGAAATCCCTGAGAATCTTGGGGTGTCACTGGGAAGCTGCTGCCCCGGAAGGAGCCGTGTCTGTGTGCTTTTTAAAGCTGGATTCCAAGGTTTTTTCTGGGCACAGTGCCCCACCACTGAGTCTGGGAAGAGGAGGAAGTTCAGCTGCGGAACGTGTGCTTTTCTTAGTGCTCTTCTGGGTACTTTTGGGATCACACTTAGTTAGTCCTGGTGGCCAGATGGAAAATCCATCCCTTACTGTAAACAGCCCTGCCTGCAAAGCTTTCTGGCAGAGAGGGATTATTTTGCTTTGCCAGTAAAAGCCTCCTGTTTCTCCAGCCTTTGGGAAGTGTTTGCCACTTGTCTGTGTACAAAGGATGGTTCAAGGACCCTCAAAAGCTGTAAGGAAAGGCAGCTGGGAGGAGAGGAGCCCTGTATCAGTCCTACAGCCCCTATGCCTCCCAGGGGGTGATCTCTGCCCATCCCAGGGCTGTGCCACACCACCCTCCTGCCTTGGCACAGGTTGCCCAGGCACCTGTTCAGAGCTGACAGAGCCCATGGGCATCTCCAGGTGGTGGCTCAGGCACATCCATGCTGTGACTCATGTTGGGAAATTCCTGTTTCTCCCCCCTGAAAGGAGGAGAAGCTTCCTGAGACTCTTAACTCACCTTTCCAGCTGGGATTAACTCAGTTCTCACACTCCTGAGCAGCCGTTCCCTGAAGGGCTCCTTCCCCTGCATCCTTCCCGAGTGGGGACATGGACAACTCCTCAATATTCCTATTCAACACTGGGATTGCTGATCCAAAGGGCTCTTTCCAATATGATCCCAATAAAGGTACAGAACCTGCTGCAGGAGTGAGGGTTGTTCTCCCAGGGGGCTGAGATGGGACCAGGCAGGCAAGAAGGAATGTGGGCGGGTTCCTTTATCTTCCTGGTAGTGGTTTGTGCAGAGAATGCCCCATCCAGAGATGGGACAAAACTCTTTGCTCACCTGTTAATCCACTCTCTCACACTGCCTGATAGTCACAGAGAATCTTTCTGAACAAAGAACAGAATTAAATTCACTTTCTGCATAAAGTTTTAACGCTACCTTAGGCAGACCATGAGGTTTTTTGGTTTTAATGTGAATACACACAGATACAGAGGCTTTCCCAAAAGATGGGGAACCCAGCAGAGGCTGGACAGGGACAGCTGGGACAGCAGGGACACTGTGCCCAGTGGTTTTTCCAAGGTAAAATATACATTGAGCCCCCCCAGGTTGTTTTTCCTGCTGAGGACAACAGCCCTCAGCCAGCAAAGCCTGACTGTGCTCCAACAAGATCACCCCAACCACCCAGTGATTCTCCACCAGCAACAGATTTCAAATACTTGCCAAGTTTCCATGACAAGTTTCCAGTTTCCCTTGGTTCCAGTCAGGTGTGAGGTCACACCAAACATGTCGTTCCGTGTTTCCCAGCCCAGTGAACTCAAAATCCACAGATCCAGTGCCCTCCAAGTCCTGTACAAGCCTGACATTTGTCCAAGGGATCCATGTGTGTGACAGAACCGAGATGGGCTGTGGTGCAGGGAACAAAGCCCCTTATGAGTGGTTCCAGTGTCCCAACCTTTATTCCCATGTTCTCCTTTCCGTGCCTCCTGCTCCATGCTGCAGTGTTGCCCTGGTGCAGTGAGGCTGAGCAGGAGAGGAGGGAACTGTCACCCTTCACCTGCTGGTGCTGGAGCATAAAAAAGGGCTTTGCAGTTGTGTTTCAGGCTGCAGTTTGTTCCTGAGACCCAGAAACCTTCATGTCTTGGCTGTCCTGGCAGACACAATCCCGACACCTTTCAGCAGATGGTGTGTAAGATTAGGAAAGGGAGGGATAGGAAGGCTGGTAGGGCTCAATTTCCTTTTGTTGGTTCACTTATCAGTTCATAGAGTCTCAAAATCACTGAGGCTGGAAAAGCCCTCCCAGCCCATGGAGCCCCCCTGTGCCCGACCCCCACCTTGTCCCCCAGCCCAGAGCTCTGAGTGCCACATCCAGGCCTTCCTGGGACACCTCCAGGGCTGGGGACTCCACCACCTCCCTGGGTTAGACCCTCCAGTGCCTGACAGCCCTTTCCAGGGAGAAATTCCTCCTGATGTCCAATCTCAACCTTCCTTGGTGCTACTTGAGGCCGTTCCCTCTCCTCCTGTCCCTTGTTCCCCCCCTGGCTCCCCCCTCCTGTCAGGGGGTTGTGGAGACTGATAAGTTGAAGCAATAAGTGGCTTTTCCAGAGCATCCAGGAGCTAAAGGCATGCCTGAGTTTTCTTGTTTGTTTTTTTTTTTTTACTCATGGAGTTTCCTCTAAAAGCCTCAGACTCCGAAAAAGCCTCCACTGTCCCCACCCAGGAAAACGTCTCACTTGTTATTTCCATTATCAGACAACAAATGTTTTATATCCCTAACAAATTAGGAGGCCCAAACCCTGGCAGGCCTTGAAAGAGAAAAAAAATTACCTGTGAAAATTACAGATCAGTTTGTGTGACACTGAGGGTGTTCAGAGATTAATATGGTGCCACCAAAGCCCTGAACTTCTCCTCTCAGGCTGAATGAGAAAAGAGCCATTGTCCTTCTTTCTACTGCTGTTCCAAGAGAAATGACACCTTAAATTAAGGAATGAGAACATTTCTCCACAAATATATTTACAGTGGCAAGCTCAGTGGCTGGAAAGACACCAGGGCCAGGCAGGATCCCTGCTAGTAATCAATAATTACAGGAAATTTTGGATGCCCCATCCCTGGCAGTGCCCAAGGCCAGGCAGGAGGGGGCTTGGAGCAACCTGGTTTAGTGGAAAGTGTCCCTGCCCATGGCAGGGAGGTTGGACTGGATGATCTTTAAGGTCCCTTCCAACCCAAACCATTGGATTGAGTCCACCATCAGCAAATTTGTGGCTGACACCAAGTTGGAGGGGAGTGTTGATCTGCTGGAAGGTAGGAGGGCTCTGCAGAGGGACCAGGACAGGCTGGATCCATGGGCTGATTCCAAGGGGATGAGGTTCAACCAGGTCAAGGGCCGGGTCCTGCCCTTTGGCCACAACAACCCCCGGCAGCTCCAGGCTGGGCCAGAGGGGCTGGAGAGCAGCCAGGCAGGAAGGGAGCTGGGAGGGGGGATGGACAGGGAGCTGAACAGGAGCCAGAGTGTGCCCAGGGGGACAAGAAGGCCAATGGATCCTGGCCTGGCTCAGGAACAGGGTGGCCAACAGGTCCAAGGAAGTGATTCTTGCCCTGGACTCAGCACTGGTGAGGCCACCCCTGGAGTGCTGTGTCCAGTTCTGGGCCCTCAGCTCAGGAAGGACATGGAGGGGCTGGAGCAGGTCCAGAGAAGAGCAACAAGGCTGGGGAAGGGACTGGAGCACAAGTGCTGTGAGGAGAGGCTGAGGGAGCTGGGGGGGCTCAGCCTGGAGAAGAGGAGGCTCAGGGGAGACCTCCTCACTCTCTGCAACTCCCTGACAGGAGGGGGGAGCCGGGGGGGGTTGGTCTCTTTTCCCAGGCAACCATCAGCAAGACAAGAGGGCTGGGTCTTCAGCTGTGCCAGGGGAGGTTTAGGTTGGAGATTAGAAAGAATTTCTTTGCAGAGAGGGTGCTCAGCCATTGGAATGGGCTGCCCAGGGAGGGGGTGGATTCTCCATCCCTGGAGGTGTTTAAGGACAGACTGGATGTGGCATCAGTGCCATGGGCTGGGAACCACAGCGGGGTTGGATCAAGGATTGGACTTGGTGATCTCAGAGGTCTTTTCCAACCCGGCTGCTTCCATGATTCCATGGTTCTATGCCTCTATGACTGGGGGGTTCTCCGATTCTACAGTCCCACAACAAAAATTAGGGCAGTAGAAAGTAGCCCTGAAAGTAGAGAGGGGGCGAAGTTGGCGTGTGCAGGATGCCCGTGGGCATCGCCCCCATCCCGAGGGCAGCACCCACCCGTGGGGTCCCGCGGCAGCCGGCCCGGCCCGTCAGCACCCTGGAGAGCAGCCCCCGGGCGCTCCCGGGGATCCATCCGGGGCGTCCCTTCCCGGATCCCCACTGGCGAGGCAAAGGCGAAGCGATGCCCGCGGCTTTCCCCCGTGACACTCTGGCCTTTAGTTCCCACAAACCACCCAAGGGAAAGCAGCTCCCACCCCTACGGTCCCCACCTGCACGAGCTTCTGGTCATCCAAAACACTGACGTCTGGGGGGCTTCGCCTTTTTCGGCACCACGGAGATTTCGTTTGGATTCCCCGCGAAATTACAGTAAGAAAAAAAAAATACGATTAAGTGGTTGCTTCAATTTTATAGAGGGTTTTGTCTGTGGAGATCGGGAGTGGCCTCCCTGCCCTCCTGCGCTGTCCCCGTGATGAAAACGATGCCTCAGTGTGGCCAGCTGGGGAACTGCTCTCCTTGAGAAGCCCCAGGTCCTCCTGCCTTGTTTTCTGCTTTTGAAATAACTGTGAAATTCCTTTTTTTAAAACAACTAAAGAAAGCAGAAAACTTAGGGCGGTCCCACAAGTGCCATCTGTCAGAGTCAGAGTGGACCACCCTCCTCATCCCTGCATAAATCCAGGACTTTGGACTCTCTCCCCATCATGTTGCCACCTCACCTCTGCTTTTTCCCACCCCTGGAGTCAGGAGCCCTGTGGCTTTTGATGCAGAGCTGAGTAGGAGGATGGGGCTTCATTTCCAGGAGTGTTTGAGTGTCAGACACTGAGGCCAAGTTCCCAGTGCCCAGACAAGAAGCGTGTTCGGACACTCACAGCTGGATTTGAACCACAGGCCTGAGACAAGACCAGCAGGAGTTGAGAGGAAGGGAGACAGAAATCTTCACTTGTGTCAAAGTGACCATGAAGAGAGGAGGAATGGCAGGTTCTTTTCTGTAGAATGAGGGGCTTCAGCTGCCAGACATTAGGAAAAATGCCCAGGAGTGGGAGCTGAGCAGGAAAACTCTGCCTTGGGAAAACTCTCAGTGTCCACACAGCCCTACTTTTATGGCTGGGATTTGAGACTTGTTCTAGGTTTACAAAGGAGAAGCTTGGAGCTGGCCATCCAAAGGCTGGGCTCTGCATCCTGTCTCCTGCTGGGACACAGGCAGAGGCTGGGCTGTGCTCAGAGTTCCCCTTCATTGGCTGCAGTACTTGGAAACCTCAATCAGGTTCTCATCGGGGTCTCGGAAGTAGATGGATGTTATTGGACCCACAGCACCAGTTCTGGCCACGGGACCTTCTTCAACAGCAACCCCACAGGCCTGGGAGGAGACAGAAGAGCAGGGGTTTAATGCTCAAGGTCGTGTCCTCAGGGTTTTGTTGACTCTTCCCCCCAGCGTTGAGAACGTGAGCTGTTGGATGAGGCAATCCCGACATTCCCCAAGACACAGACCCTGAAAGTGTCATTTGGAGGCTGTGGCTTCGTGTCTCCAGGGATCCCACTGCCCTGTGGACACCCCCTGCCTGCCTCACCTTCAGATGATCCAGCAGCTGCTCCAGGGGCACCTGTGTGACAAGGCAGAGATCTGCAGAGCCAGGGACTGGGCACCGAGCCTTGGGTTCAAACTCCTTCCCAACCTCGTGCAGATTAAACTTCTGGTTGCCAAAACGTAAAGCTTTGCGATCTCCCTGTCCCCAGAGAGGAAAACCAGAGTAAATGAGACTTCTTGGGCTGGAAATCCTCGGCATCCACTCACCTGTGCAGCCCTAAGAGCTCTGGGGATCTGATGTGGTCCTGCTAACTCAGGGCTTGGCTTTGTGGCAATCCAAAAATTGATCACTGCAAGGCTCCCGTGATATTCCTCGAGACATGGAGTGACCCAAGAATGTCCTACAGACACACCCAGATGCTTCCAAACCACAGTGATGGAAGTTTTTGGGTTTGGACACTCTCTATCCTGCCTGGCAGCAGCCACACAAAGAAAGGGACAGGCTGACACTGCAGTGGGGACAAAGCTGATGAGATGGGAAGAGGGGGAGGAAGGAGGTTTTGGCATCTCTTTGCAGGATCTCAAGGGGGTTTCTGTAGGTTCATATGGCAACTGAGTCCTGAGACCCCCCTGGCCATGCAGGACACTGACCACCTAAAGAACAAACTCCTAAAACTGCTTTTAGGAGACTTGTTGGGGCAGGAGAGAAGGACACAAGCTTGGAAGTGAAAAAGGTGCAGTGTGTCCATTCAAAGCAGTCAAAAGCATTTGAAACTTGGGTAGGAGACGAGTTAGGGCTGCCCTGGAAACATGAATCAACTTTTCCTCTCTTTGCCAATGGAAATCCCAAAACAAGAGCTTGTCAGACGCCTTTAGACGATGTGTGGGTTTCAGGGTTCTCCTCCTTCAGTCCTAAAAGCTGTTTTTCAAAGAATCTTTCTTTTTTTTTTATCACTTTTACTCCTTCCCAGTATGGGTTGGACTTACCCTGACTCAGCTTGACTCTCCAGAAACTCAGAGCTCGATGGGCTGCAGCTTGTGCTGGTCTTACAACCCCCACCCCAAGGAGGTGCCCAGAGAACCCACCAGAGACCCACAGCTCCCATCCACTGGCCCAGAACAGCAGTTCCAGGTCCTCCAGACCCAACCCAGACCTGTGCCACGTGTTACCTTGAAAGTCACCACCTCCATGCCCAGGACTTTGGAATAAAAGGCCACAGTGTCCTCGATGCTCTTCACAGTCAGCACAAGGTGGTCCAGGCGCTGGATGAAACACGAGGGGGGACTCACACACTCCTCCTCCTTCCAGGACATATTCTCAAGGCTGGGAGCTGGCCTGGAAAACCAGAGAACATGAAAGTTGGGAGCATCCGGGTCCAGGCAGCTGCAAATGGAGCTGCTCTTGACCTGCAGGTGGCACAAGCACAGAAGCAATAAATTCTCCTCCCTGGAAGGGCCTCAAACCCCTGTTGGCTCTGGTGGCACCTGAGCCTGCCAGAGCCCCTGGCTGGAGCCAGGTCTGCAGGACCAGCTGGGTGACCTCGCTGAGGGCTGATGTCACCACGATGCTGAGCTCCCAAAGCACAAAAACCAAGGGAGGACCAAGTGTGTGATCCTTCCCTCCAACCCCCTCTGGGGTCTCCCCAGCCTTCCTCATGTCCAGGTGTGGACACTCATCTAGGGGAAGCAAAGACAGAGAGTGGAGACCCAAGCTGGGACCTGGCAGAGCAATAGGAAACGTCTCCAGGGACGTGTGTTGTCACCTGCCTTCAAGCTGCTTGGTGTCACCACCAGGCAGAGGCTGCTGCCAGGGCTTCAAGGTGATGAGAATGAGGGGGAAGGGGCTCAGCAGCCTGAGTTTACAGCAGTTCTTGGTGTTTTCTGTTGGGTTCATACCCCCTGGCACTGCCCTTCCCTTTTAGGGACAGTGGTGGGGGAACAGGTGGACTCAATGACCTTGGAGAGCTTTTCCAACCTCCATGATTCCATGATTCCGCACAGGGAATGCTTGGCAAGGAGAGATCTCGCAGGAGCAGGGTCAGGACAAAGTCAGGCACAGCCTCACCAGGGAATCTGCTCCCTGCAGCCAGAGGATCCTGCTTGGAGAAGGACCCCATTGTCCTGCTCCATGGCCTGGCCTGTGCCCAGTGACTGTCCCAGTGCTGGGGGCAGCTGGGAACACACCCAGCACAAAGTCCCTGCCTCTCCTCGCTGCCAGTGTTCAACAACCTCCCCTCAGACCAACCTGGCTCAGTCACTCTGCAAATCCCTTCCACCCAGCACATCCCCTGGGCCCTCCCAAATTCCAGGACCTTCGTGTCCAGGAGCCTACAGCTCCCACCTCCTGCCCAGCCAGCCCTGCCAACACAGCCTCCCCTCCCAGGGGAGCCCCTCAGCCAACCCCTGCAAGGAAAGGGGGGACCAAAAATAGGGGGTTACCTGCCAGAGGGGACAGAGCCAGGCAAGGTGGGTCCCCAGGACCTCTCTCTTCCTGCTGGGTGAGCAGGAACGTCACGGGAGAGTGGGAGGGAACAAGGAAGCTGGAAACAGGAGCACTGAGGTGAACCTTGACCCAAAGGACATAAAAGTCCAACTGCTTGAAAAACCCCAGAAAAGGAGCCTGGATATTTTAACCCCACGTTCTTCCCTTTCCAAGGGAGGGAAGGTATGGTTTCTGTGCTGTGTCAAAGCTCTCACTGGGGTGATTTTATTCCCACTGGCTATCCCTGGAGAACAGGGAATGTGGCAAGCAGCCACAGCAGGCTCCCCCCTCCCTGGCAGTGGACAAGGTGCCTGTTCACTATGTTGCCTCCAAGATTATTTTCTAACATGCAACAAGCTGAGCTCTCACTGCCCTACGAGGCAAACCCCAAAGAATTTGGGACCTTCAGTTGTTTAGAGAGAAGGTTGGAAAGGGACAGTGAGCTCTGAGATCATCATCCCAAGAATTAGAGGTCACATTTAAAGAACCACAATATATTAGTGAGCTGTGACATTGGTGTCGGAAGAGTCGTAAGGAAATGGGATAAAAATTCCCCCAGGGACCAGTTGGGATGTCTAGAACTGTAGCACTTTCTCCACTCCAGTTGGCATGTGAGTAAATCTTGGCTAAAAGCAATAAAACTGTTAATATTAATAACTCTGGACTTCCATCTCTCAGGTGCCTTTCACTGGAGAGCTGGGAGTGACACAGAGCGTGTCCTGATCCCTGGATGTGGTGACACCACACACCCCTGGAGGTCTCAGGGTGTTTGAACCCTCTGTTGAAGGCTCTCTGGGAAATCTGAGCATGGACAAGAAGGAGAGAGTCCCTGGAGAGAGATCTTTCCCCTGGGAATGGTCTGCTGAAGAGGTGCAGCACCAGCACTCACTCTGGCACAGAAACTGGGGGTCTGGAGGGTTTATTTACTCATGGCACAGTGGGGTTTTTTGGAGCAGGGAAGCTGTGGTTTGGGTCTGAGAACTCCACTTCCCCAAGGCAGTTCTAGTCTAAGACTGACAAGTCTTGGACTTTAAGGTCAGGGTGTGATCCCACAGCTCAGGCTTGGGAAGGGGTTTGAGTTCAGCTCCTCAAAGGTGTAGCTGCAGATGAGGGTTCCTGGGCTGCTCCCAGAAACATCCAGAGAGGGTCTTGTCTACACGTTGGACAGAGTGATGGAGTTGAAGTAGCTCAGCAGGTCCTCCACGGTGAAGTCCATGGCAATCCCTGATCCTGCGTAGCAGCGTCGGATCAGATCCTCAAACTCTTGGTACTGGCGGATGAACTCCTGCTCCATGGTGTGCCACACCACCTGGGGGAAAGCTCCCCTTCAGCTCCCTTCAGGAGGCCCTGACAGCTCCAGCTGTGCAGCCCTGAACCCCCAAAACATCCCAGAGTCACACCCACATCCCGCCCCGATTACCGGCAGAAGGTTTTCCTCCGGGGAGAGGTCCTTGTGGATTTTCCTGTAGAGGGTCTCCAGGGCTCTTCTGACTTCCTTGCCAGGGTATTTCTCAAGGACCTTCCTGAGCTCCTGCTTGCTGTAGGCCAGCTGGAAGCTCAGCTCCTCCTCCTTCACCCCCTGAGCCAGGCGGGCTTTCACCCCTTCGAAGAAGTGCTGGAAAGGGAAGGAGACATTCCATGAGGAGCCAGCCTGAGGTGGGCTCCTGCCTCAGGATCGCTTCCCTCAGCTCCCTTCCCACGCCTCATTAAGTTGAAATGAAGTACTGGAGCGTGTTTATCCCCCAGGAAAGCAGAGTTTAGGGAATTCCACTGGTTCTGCTCTGCAAGCAGCATCTCTAAGGGCTGCAGGCCCCTGGAGCAATGGGAGTGCTGGAAAAGTCACTCGGTGCTTCCTCCAGCTTTGCTCCCCACAGAGGGTTTGGAGCCAGAGGTGGGGTTGGGGGATCCCAGAACCTGCAGAAATGTAAAGCAAAACTCAAAGTTCTCTCAGTTTTTGGGACAGACATCTCTATCTGTGCCACAGCCGGCCACGGAATTCCACATCTGGTGGAACAATCACTTCCTTCATCCTCCTGTCCACCCTCCTGTTCACACATCCTGAAAATCTGTAGGCTGTCCTGGGTTATTTCCACTGCAATTTGGCTGTGGAGAAACACCCCAAATCCTAAGGATTCTGAGTTCCTAAATGTAAGAGCTGTTTCCAACAAGCAGAAATGGGCTCCTACATTCCTTATCCTGGGGTCAGTCCTCAAACCCAAAGGGTTTGTTGTGGTCTGATGGAGAGGCCACGGCAGGATTTTGGAGATCCCTGAGCAGAATGAAATCCAGGTGCCTCCATACACTACTGGCTTTGTTGGGAGCAGTGAAATCATCCTTTCCCTCACAGGGGGAGGACTGGAAGCCGTAAGCAGAGCGGGAAGCAGGAGACCCCGAGCTCATCTCCCAGTCAAGGCAACAAGATGTTTGACAGCAACGACTGGGAATAAATTGAAAGGAACAGGTCCTATGAATAATTCAAGCTGAGCTCAGTCTGTGAGTGATTTTAGGGCCGTGAGAGGAGGAGCAGAGCAGCCACAGTCGAGGGGAGGAAGGGAGTAAGCAGAGCCAGGTGCTCTTAGCTCAGTTAACAAAGCAGCCGCTCGGGAAGTGTGGAATCTGTGTCGGAATGATCAGCCCAGGCAGCCGTGAAAGAAAAAATGAGCATCTGCCAGACACAGACACGCAACCCAGAGCAGGGGCTGAGCAGGAAATTCTTAGGATTGGCTTCGGAAAAGTTGCACCCGAGTGTATCTTGGTCTACGGCCTTCAAGTGGACAGGAGGAAAAAAGCAGCAGGAAAGTGAGAAAATCCCTCACATTTTTAGGATTGTCGGCGATAAAAAGGTTTCCTTGTGAAGGCAGAGTGATCACATTGTCTTGATAGAAGAGATTTTTCTTCCAGTGAGAACAAGCAATCACTCCCCCATCGATTATCCCATCAATCCAACCTCCCCGGGATGAAGTACAGTCCCCACCACTGAGGTTTCAGGATGGGACTGGACAGGGTTGCTACAGATTCTCATCCAGGTAACCTTTCCAAGGCAGTTTGGACCAGATGGTCTCCAAGGTCCCTCCCAGCCTGGGCTGTTCTGTGACTCTGGGATGCTGGGGCTGCTCTGCCCAGTGAAACCCGGCAGCGAGCGGGCAGAGAAGGGGGGAACACTGGGATGTGACAACAAACTCATATAATCCCAGACTGGATTCAGGGAGGGGTCATTTGAACACCAATCAATCTCTAGTTTTGGGAAGGGCAGCTGCCCTTTGAGGCCCAGAGGAGGGTCAGGAGATCCTGTACTCACATGGAGCTTCTCCAGGGGCTGGCCCAGGCACTTGAGGACATATTTCTCCATGTGCTCGCTGTACCTTTGCTTGGCTTCTCTCTTCTTGTCCTCCAGGCAGGGGATCTTCTTCTGGCACAGGAAGCAGTAGATGTGGTGGAAATTTTCCATCATGGCCATATGTGTGTTCACCTTCAGGTTTGCTGAGGACAGACTATTGACTTAAAAGAAAAGAGGAAATCAGGTGTGGAGAGAAGACCCTGCAGGCTGGGTCAGGGGGGTCTCAGGGTGTCTCATCTGAACCATCTGACTTCGACCAGTCCCAGAGGAATTATTCACAACACAGATCCTGATCCCTGTCCATAAGCTTGATTCCCTACATCCCCTGCTTCACTGCAAACTTTGCTGGAGCCTGGAAGGTGCCATGGTCATGGATCTATCAGTGGCACAGCCCAGGCACACCTGCAGGTGGGAGCTGCCTCTCTCCACCACCTCCTGGTCTGTGGCCAGAGCTGTTAGTCCTGCAGCCCCTGGGAATCTCCAGTGACCAGAAGCTGGGACAACCCAGGGATCTACTGAGAGCTCCCTGCCTTGCTCTCCCAACCCCTCTTGATGTTTTGAGGGAAGTTGATCTTCGGCTCCCAGGACCTCTGAGCTTGGAAGAAGAGTCTGACCTGCAGTGAGGAGCTGCTCCCTCCATAGTGGGGCAGGAGATGTTGGAATTAGATCCAAAGCTGTGTCCCACCCCTGTCCCAGCCAGGACCATCCCAATGCAGCAGACACCACACACCCAACGTGCCATCAGGGCCTGTGTTGCCAAAAAAGGGCCTTTTCAAGGCAGGAAGGAAACTTGTCTGAGCATTTACCCAAAAATAGAAGGTGTTGAGCCACTCAGCAAATTCCCAGTGGTCCTGGAAGTGGCTGGAAGGCTGATCCAGAACGTGGCAGGTTTCAGGGATGGAAACAGGGGCTGAACGCCCATTCCCAGCTGCTGGTGGTGCTCTCATCCCCCAGGACTGAGGGACTTCAAATCTGCCCCAAATTGAGGGGTCAGAGTGGCAGGAAGAGAATTACTACTCCTGGGATACCCAGCTCCTGGATGGCAGCACCGTGAGGACAGGGAGACATGGAGATCAGGAAAAAGGGGATACCCCAAACCACGCTCTCTGAATTTTGATGCTCCCAGGCTCTTGCTCAGTGCAGGTGATTTCAGCTCCAGGCAGTGCCCAGGAGAGAGGGAACCTCCACCCTGCCCTACTGGGAGCTCCTGGAGCTGCAGGGGGACATTTGCATCCAGCCACCAGCCTTGGTACTCACTGCTGCTGAAGACACTGCTGGCCAGCCTGAGGTGGGCCTTGTCCAGCTCCCCTCTCCTCTGAGCTGTCCTGAACACCTCCTCAGAGAAGTCCACAAACTCCTGGAAGCGGCTCACGGAGGGCAGGATCCCACCCTTCATCCTGCTGGGCACCTTTGCCTCCTCGAGCTCCTTGCACAAGGTCCCCTGGCAACAGCACACAGGACGTGGCTCTGTCAGATCTGACATGGCCCCAGAGTCATCTGATGGGTCACTAAAGCTCCAAGCCCTGTCCAACCTGGCCTTGGACACTCACAGGGATGGGGCAGCCACAGCTTCTCTGGGCAACCTGTGCCAGGGCCTCCCCACCCTCATAGGGAACAATTCCTTCCTAATATCCCATCTAAAACTACTCTCTGTCAGTTTGAAGCCATTCCCCCTTGGTCTGTCA